GTATCTATCACACAGCTTTCACCAATTCAACTTTGTACGGGAGTACAGTTTCTTCACAGCAATTATAATTGGCTGTGGATCCATAGGCATCTCATTGGCTGATATTCAGAAGTAGATAGCCAGGCCTTCCTTCCTACTCCATTTTAGTCTGGAAGCTCCACCGAAACCTCTTCAACATCAGAGCAACATGCAAGCCTCCAGTGACAGGTGGGTGGTATCTGCATTCGAGGTGCGTGGGCTGCGAATGGAGCCTGGGGCCTCCCACCTGGAAGGCCAGAATTCTGTCCCTGAACCCCCACTGCCACTTACCTCGCTTTCTCAAGCCCTTTCCTTGCTATATAAAGTCAAAATCTTACTTTATATGTTCTTTGTGATAGAATGTATCACGCTGTCTAGAGGGATTTCCTGTCTCTGAAGGTCTCTAAAGTAGGGGTTGGATTAAACCTGGGAGATCAGGTCAGTACAGTCTTTTGTGGTACCCATCACAACTGAAATGGTTTAATGTCCAGCTCTGTGAGGGCAGAGTCTACTTACTGCTAATATCTCCTCTATGCCAAGCAGTGCCTTTAAATGGATCAATAAACATGAAGAAACCATACCCTACCCCACAACTTAATTCTTGCAACTGTTTCCTGGAATAAGCCAAATCTATAAATACATATTAATCGTCTGACCTGGAATCCTGGTGTGGTGTTGTGGGATGAAGCACTGGACCGCAAGGTCAGTTTGAACCACAAAGTCAGTGGTTCAAACTCACCAGCCACTCCCTGGAAACCCTATACAGGGTTGCTATGAGTCAGAACCAACTCTAGGCCACTTAAAAACAATCATTTGACCTAACAGGTCTCTGTTCTTCTTAGCTTCCTGCAATCTATCTTATAGCTTGCAGCCATTGTTGTTGTTCAGTTCCATAGAGTCGATTCTGACTCATAGCGACCCTGTAATAGGGTTTCCGAGGAGCGGCTGAATTTGAACTTCGGACCTTGTGGTTCAAACTTACCTTGCGGTCCAGTGCATTCCCTTCCTCAAACCTCTACTATCTTCCCATTATCTACAGAAATACAGTCAAAGCTCTTCAGCTTAGCATTCAAGGCTTGGGCCCCAATATCCCTTTGTAAACCTCTTTGGACTTATAATAAGCACTGGGTTAGTCACTGAAGGAGTTCACAAAGTAGAAGTGAGGTACACAGACTAGCTTGGGACGTGACCAGCTCTCTGAGAGCATGGGTAATTTCAGACAATGAATTATAAAATATTAAGTTTCTGCCTTCTACAGGTTCACAAGTTCAGTCTAGAAGTGTGACATCCAGTATGTTGGCCATTAGCCACACTTCAAGCGCTTTGTAGCCACATGTGGCTAACGGCTATCATATTGAAGGGTGGGAGGGGGGTTATCTACAGGTGTTTTAAAGAAAGCCAATGAGGGGACAATAAAGGCACGAAGTGACTGGCTTACAAGGTTTCAAGAGGGAGCTTAGTTAAGAGTGTGGAGGGAAAGAAAGAGTCCCCACTGAATAGTTATCATCTTGTCTAGATGGGTCTGGTGAAAGGAGATGGGGATAAGATTCGTAAGATTCAGTAGTGAATAA